AAGGCAAGAAGAGGCCATTTGGCCCACATAGCTCGCACAATTAAAAATACTATTAACTTCAACTATAAAGTCTTGCTGCTTGTCAATGCATCCCACAAGTACTTCTTGGCTAAAGAATCTTCAAGCAGATAACCAACACCAGACCTTCTAGGGACAGTGTGTACATAAATACTATCTAACCTCCATGTGATCTGACATCAAATCCTTCTCTGATTAGATCTGAGAGGTCCCCCAGCTTCAAGATTACTCACTACATTTGGCCCATTTACGAGAATCAGGTCCAGAATCTTCTCCAAGAGATAGTTCTCAACTATCGCACAAGAAATCAGTGCTACATTTCTTTTTCTGGAAAAGGATTCTCATGAATTTTGTCTTGTTATTATCCACTATAATATCAAAAAGTAAATAAAATCCTCCATCAAGATCTAGGCCTTTACAATGATGAATGAATATCATTATATTGTATACCTAAAATGTACCAATAAACTCAGTGGAAAAAAAAGATCCAGGCCCTTATCCAAGATCCTCATCTGTTCCTCATCTATTTCTTTTTTCCTCAAAACTTAATAACTCACCTGGACATCTTTACAGTCTTTAGATGTGCTCATTGTCTCTGAAGGAATACAAACTTCATTTCTGTACGTGACTCGGTATTCTTCATAGAGCAATTGCTCCTAGCCCTCTTGCGTACTTCACTAATTCTCAGTTGGAGCCTACAGAGATGAGAATATGAATGTCCCTCTGTCCCAGGAAATGACAGGAAGCATAATCCCAATGGTGACTTCACAGACACTCTGGCCTGGTAGAAATCCTCCCCAGTCCCTCCATGACCAGCCTGCTCTCAAGGCTGTGCAAAACCCTGTCTTACCATAAAATAAGCTTCACTGACCTGGTGGCAGTTCATGATTTTGAAAATTCCACTTCAACTGAGAATTTTCTCAAATGGCTCTGTATTTCTGCTTTGCTGACAACCAACACCCACAAATTTGCCAAGACAACCCCCTGCCCCTTCGCCTAGCTGTCTCATATTTACTGTTCCTGGGCACAGTCTCCAGGTTGGCTGCCGGGTTCCACCCAGTGAGCACTGCCACTGCCTCTGGGTGACACAGTGGGTGGAGAGGTGATGGAAGGTAAAGAAACCTGGGTCAGTGCTGCTCTGCACTGATGAGGTGCCCTCGGGCCTCCTGGACCCTGACCTCTACATCTGCAGGCTTGCTTCTGTCCTAGCCAGTTATTCCACTGGCAGTTCATGAGTGCCTGCTATGGGCTGTGAGGTGGGATGAAAGTCACAAACCCCAGCTTAATGACTGAGTCTAAACACAGCCAACCTGCCATCTTTATCCTGAAAACAGAAACACTGCCGAGAAATCCAAAATCAATTCCAACATCTCATTTTGGCCAACTCTTTTAAAACTTCTTTCCCACCAATTTCTGTACCAGCAAAAAGGCAACAATTTTAGAACACATGAAAGACCATCACTTCCAGGTCTCTTCTCTCTCCCACTAGGGCTGCCCATTTAAAATTCAAGTAAAAGGAGAAGCAAGAAATTTGGAGAAGTCAACAGTTCAGTAATTAAGCACTGAAATGAC